CACCTTGCCCGGCTAGTTTTTGTAATTTTTAGTAGAGACGGGGTTTCACCGTGTTAGCCAGGATGGTCTCGATCTCCTGACCTCGTGATCCGCCCGTCTCGGCCTCCCAAAGTGCTGGGATTACAGGCTTGAGCCACCGCGCCCGGCCGCCTGGCTAATATTTTATATTTTAGTAGGCATAGGGTTTCATCATGTTGCCCAGGCTGGTGTCAAACTCCTGAGCTCAGGCAATTCATCCACCTTGGCCTCCCAAAGTGCTGGGATTACAGGCGTGAGCCACCATGCCCGGCCAATTTCTTAAATTTTTTTAGAGATAGAATCTCACTTTGTTGCCTAGGCTACAGTGCAGTGTGCGGCACTATCACGAGTCACTGCAGCCTTGAACTCCTAGCCTCAAGTGATCCTCCCATCTCAGCCTCCCAAATAGCTGGGACTGTAGGTGCACGTCACCATGCCCAGCTAATGATTTTTTGTAGAGATGAGGTCTCCCTATGTTGCCCAGGCTAGTGTCGAACTCTGCTGAGGTCAAGCCATCCTTCTGCCTAGGCCTCCCAAAGCATTGGGATTACAGACGAGAGCCACTGAACTCTGCCATTGTTTGTTTCTAAATAAATTGGTATTTCAGTCTTGATTTTCTTTTTCACTTGGGAGTTAATTAGAAGGGTGGTTTGGAATGTCCATGTCAACAGGAGTGTGTTCTTATCCTTTTGCTATTAATTTCTAATTGTGTCACTTTGTAGTTGCAGAACCCTGTGTTATGGGAGTCTGTCTGCGTGGGGGTCTGTCTGTGTTATGGGGGTCTGTCTGCGTGGGGGTCTGTCTGTGTTATGGAGGTCTGTCTGCGTGGGGGTCTGTCTGTGTTATGGAGGTCTGTCTGCATGGGGGTCTGTGTTACGGGGATCTGTCTGCATTGGGGTATATCTGTGGGTCTGGGTTGAGGTCTGTGTTACGGAGGTCTGTCTGCATGGGGATCTATCTGTTTTGGGGCTCTGTCTGCATTGGTCTGTTTTGTTTGTGGCCAACTCATGTGCATATTGAGTGTGTTTGGGAAGAACATGGATTCTCTGTGGGTTAAAGAGTTCTGTGGGGCCGGGCGCGGTGGCTCAAGCCTGTAATCCCAGCACTTTGGGAGGCCGAGACGGGCGGATCACGAGGTCAGGAGATCAAGACCATCCTGGCTAACACAGTGAAACCCCGTCTCTACTAAAAACTACAAAAAACTAGCCGGGCGAGGTGGCGGGCGCCTGTAGTCCCAGCTACTCAGGAGGCTGAGGCAGGAGAATGGCGTAAACCCGGGAGGCGGAGCTTGCAGTGAGCTGAGATCCGGCCACTGCACTCCAGCCTGGGCGACAGAGCGAGACTCTGCCTCAAAAAAGGAAAGGAAAAAGGAAAGAGTTCTGTACATGTTCTCCTGTGTCTGTTGTATTACTCATTACTTAAATCCTAATTTTTGTTTAAGTTACTTTTGTTAAAACATACATATTTAGAACAGCAGTCCCCAAAGCCACACTCAGCCTTGCAGACGTCCTTGCATGCTGAGGTGAGAAGTGCACTTTTGCTGGTACACTGCCTCCTCTCCTCTCCTTTCCTTTCCTTTTTCCTTTTTCCTTTTTCCTTTCCTTTCCTTTTGACAGAGTCTCACTCTATCGCCAGGCTGGAGTGCAGTGGTGCGATCTTGGCTCACTGCAACCTCTGCCTCCGGGGTTCAAGTGATTCTCCTGTCTCAGCCTCCCAAGTAGCTGGGACTACAGGTACCCACCACCACACCCAGCTGATTTTTGTGTTTTTTTGTTTGTTTTTTGTTTTTGAGACAATCTCGCTCCGTCGCCTAGGCTGGAGTGCAATGGTGTGATCTTGGCTGACTGCAACCTCCACCTCCTGGATTCAAGCGATTCTCCTGCCTCAGCTTCCCAAGTAGCTGGGATTACGGGTGCACGCCACCATGCTGGGCTAATTTTTGTACTTTTAGTAGACACGGGGTTTCACCATGTAGGCCAGGCTGGTCTCGAACTCCTGACCTCAAGTGATCCGCCAGCCTGGCCTCCCAAAATGCTGGGATTACAGGCGTGAGCCACCGCGCCCGGCCGCACTGCCTCCTTTTCATTTCTCTGTCTTGCATTCTGTCCATGCCCCACCGCAGAGACGAAGGGTGTAGCGCCCCTTCCCCATCCTCTCACCAGCATGTCTACTCCGCAGAAACCCGGTTCCACTGTCAGCTTTACAGTGACCACGTGGCATCGTGACCGTGGGGTGGCCGTGTTTCCTTTGTGCTGCTTTTGGTGTTCCCTGGAGGAAATCGTTGTGTGCCCGCCCCCCCCCCTCCATTTTCTATGAACTGATTATTCTTTCCTAAACCTTCCAACAAATCTAGGACTCTGCTCTCACAGACCCCTGCACATTAGGTCGTCTGGAGCTGCGTTTTCTCCTTGGCAGTGGCCTTCCTGGAGCCCTGGACTGCCAGCAACCAGCCCAGCTGGCAGGGCCACTGAGCAGCCTTCCCTACTCCCTCTCCCTTCTACACTCCCCCACAATCCATCTGCCTCCTGTCTACAGGCCCCCTTGTTTCCTGGGTCCCGGCTTACTCTCCCTGGTTAGTCCTTTGTATTGGTGGAGTACATCCAGCAGCTTCCTCTAAAAGGGCTCAGAGGATGTGAAAGTTTCGAAGACTCTAAAGATGTGAAAATATCTTTATTCTGCCTGTATGCTTGAATGACACCTTGGTTGGGTGAGATACTAGGTGAGAAATAATTTTCTTGCAGGATTTTGAGGCATTGTCCATTACCTTCTGGCTTGCAGCGTTGCTGTGTGGTGGTGCCCTAGACTATTAAGACAATTTTTTTTTTTTTTTTTTGAGACAGAGTCTTGCACTGTCGCCCAGGCTGGAGTGCAGTAGTGCAATCCTAGCTCACTGCGCCTTGAACTCCTGGGGAGTTCAAGGGGATTGAGCGATTGTCCCTCCTCAGCCTCCCGGAGTGCTTGGATTATAGCTACTGTGCCCAGCCAGAATTTCCTTACATTTTCTTTCTCCCTTCCTTTCTCTCTTTTGTTCATTCTTTCATTCTCTCTCTCTCTCTTTCTCCTTCCTTCTTTCCTTTTCTTTCTCTTTCTTTTTTTTTTTTTTTTTCCTTCAGAGTCTTACTCTGTCACCCAGGCTGGAGTGCAGTGGCAAAACCACAGCTCACTGCAGCCTCAACCTCCTGGCTCAGGCGATCTCTGCCTCAGCCTCCCAGTAGCTAGGACTACAGGCATGTGCCACTGAACTTGGCTAATTTTTTAATTTTTCTTTTGTAGAGATGGGGTCTCACAGGCTGGTTTAGAATTCCTGACCTCAAGCAATCCTCCTGCCTTGGGCTCCCAAACTGCTGGGATTACAGATGTGAACCATCACGCCCAGCCTCCTTACCTGTCTTTGTTTGAGATGGAGTTTCACTCTTGTTGCCCAGACTGAAGTGCAATGGCATGATCTCGGCTCAGTGCAACCTCCACCTCCCGGGTTCAAGCGATTCTCCTGCCTTAGCCTCTTGAGTAGCTGGGATTACAGGCATGTGCCACCACGCCTGGCTAATTTTGTATTTTTAGTAGAGACAGGGTTTCTCCATGTTGGTCAGGCTGGTCTTGAACTCCTGACCTCAGGTGATCTGCCTGCCTCGGCCTCCTAAAGTGCTGGGATTACAGGTGTGAGCCACCGCACGCGGCCGGCCTTTTTACTTTTTTTTTTTTTTTTTTGAGACGTCTCACTCGGTCGCCCAGGCTGGAGTGTGATGGCACGATCTTGGCTCACTGCAAGCTCCGCATCCTGGGTTCACGCCATTCTCCTGCCTCAGCCTCCCCTAGTAGCTTGGACTACAGGCACCCACCACGACACCCGGCTAATTTTTTGTATTTTTAGTACAGACAGGGTTTCACCGTATTAGCCAGGATGGTCTCGATCTCCTGAGCTTGTGATCCGCCCGTCTTGGCCTCCCAAAGTGCTGGGATTACAGGCATGAGCCACCATGCCTGGCCCCTTTTTACTTTTTAAGGCTTAATAATATTCCATTTTCTAGATCTGCCACATTTTGTTTATCAATTCATCCATTGTGGAAACGTGGATTCCTTCCACATTTTCGCTGTTGTGAATAATGACCACTGCTGTGAACATCCCCCGTCGGAGTGCACACATCTGTTCGCCTTCCTGCTTTCAGCTCTTTTGGGTATATACCCCAAAGCAGAATTGCTGAATCCCGTGGCAGTTCTGTTTTTAGTGTTTTGAGGAATGAGAATTCACCTCGATTTTGCATGAATCCCACTCTTAGCATGGCACTGCCTTCTCTCCCCTCTCCCCTTACCTCTGGTGAGGGAGTTGGAGGATGGTGGACTTCAAGCTGAGCACAGTCTGGAGGAATCGTCTCCTGCAGCCTACATGGGAAGTTCTCTCTTGGGGGATGGGGGTTGTCCTGGGGACCCCACCTGTTTCTGACCTTTCCCTGTGGCCCTCCCACAGCTCCTCCAGCTGGTCCCTGCCTTCCAGTCTCCTGTACCCTGCCAGGGGCCCTCCTCCACTGGCGCTGGTCTTTTGTCTATGGATTCATCTTTATTTTCTCCCTTACTCTCTTTATGATCATTTCAGAGGGGTCTGGGGAGAAGGGCGGTCTGGAGCTGGCCTTAGTCCTGCCTTTCCTGTGTTCGAGCTCCGGGGGTCCTCCTGCCGGTCAAGCGGGGGGCCGGCCGTGAGGATTAAGCAGTCCAGAGGCAGCCCCGCTGTACATGAAGCCGGGCACGTACTGGGTTGGGGGGTGTCCTGGCACAGATTACTGTGCAAAGCCACAGAGGGCCACACGGCCTGAGGCCCCGCGCCGGGAGCTGGCGCTGGAGCAGGGGGAGGCTGAGCAGACGGCGCTTTAGAAAGCGCCCCCTGGCCGCTGAGGGAGCGAGCTCTGAGGGTCAGCGCGTGCTGGGTAGGAGCGGCGAAGGGATGCTGGCGCCGAGGCCCTCGCCGACCCGCTGCCCTTTCCCCGCAGGTGTGCGAGCCGCCGGAGCGCAGGCGCCCGGGCCGCCACTGGAGCGTCAGCATCGACGAGCGCCGGCGGCTGGCCATGCTGGGCGGCCGGGAGAGGCCGGGCGCCGCCGGGGCCCCGCTACACTGCAGGGTGCGCGGGGGCGGGTCCTCCCAGCCGGGTCCCAGCCCCGCCCCGCCCCGCCCCTCCACCTCGCCTCCCTCGACTCAGTCCAACTGGGCCCTTTACCCTGCCGCTCCCGGGCCCCACCCTTATCCCCTTCCCGCCCCTCAAGGCTCCCTGACCCTCCCTCGCCCGCAGGACATCGTGCAGATGGTAGCCCAGCTGGTGTCAGAGGACGTGGACAAGGACGTGCTGTTTCCCCACCCGCTGAGGTCCACCGAGTCCACCAACGCCTTCCAGGCCTTCCTGGCGCGGAGTGCGCCTTTCTGGCATAATGCGACTTTCGAGACCCGGGCCTCGAGGTCACCCCCTTCCTAAAAGCCCGACTCAGCCCATTGTGTGTCTTCCAGTGCCTTTCCTTGGGGGCCCAGGGTGGGGGCAGCCTCTGCGCCTTCTTTGTGCCCCACCAGGGTTATCACGACCACCCATGATGGTCAGGCAGAACCTGGCTCCGGACAGCCTGCAGCTCCTGAGGCCTTGGAGACGGAGCTAGGGGCTATCGGAGGCCATCTAGGGGAGGGAAGTACTGCCCCAGGTCAGTTTGAGGGGGCTCTGGCAAGGCCTGGGTAGCAGGAGCTTGCCCTCGGGACCGCTGGGAGGAGGCCTCGGGGTACCTGGGCCTGTCTGAGGTGCACTGGTGTCCTGGGAGGCCCCAGTGGCAGGCGCTGCCTGGAGACTCAGCTCCTTTGCTGGTCTGGTCTGAGGAACTGGGTACCTGCCTGCACCAGGCTGTGAGATGGGCCAGGGAGAGTTCTCCAGGGGGCGGGGTCTCACATTGGTTCCTGCCTCTGAAGACCCAGAAGGGCACACGGGATCCCAGGGGTGCTGTGGTGGGGAGCAGCAAGCCCAGGGACCCAATACGGTGCCCAGCTTAGAGGGAGGCTGTCTGGAGGCAGAGCTGCCTCCTGGCCTCTGGACAGCGATGCTGGTGGTGGCCGAGGGCCAAGGGGGTAGCCTGCACAGGGGGTCTGAGCAAGTGCTTACCTGTCAGCTGCAGAGTTGGCTGGAGCAGGGGCCTGTGGGCCTGGTTTCCAGGCTGCAGGGCCCTCGGAAGGGTGGTGTCCCAGCTGCATTTTGGGGATACTAAGTCGCAAGAGGACTGGACCGGGAGGCGGGGCAGGAGGGCTGTGGGCATGGGTTCCCAGCCCGGGGTGGGTGGGGGTGGGGAAAGGGCCCTGGACTCCGTGACTGACCGTTAGGGGCCTGACTGGGCTTCTGTGGAGGTGGCTAAGTGGAGGAGGCTTTGGGGCAAGCGGAGGTGATCACTCCTCGGCCCCAGGTGAGGGCAGGAGCTGGACCTGTGCGGTGGTCTGGACCACCAGACACACACCTGCTGGCTTTGCTGCCCCCCTGGCCTCCACCCCTCCCCTTCCCACTGGTGAGAAGCCACCTGACTGCACGGCCAGCCACCTGCTGCCCTGACACTGGATCCGTGGCCCGACTTGAATCCTCTGCACCTGCCTGTGTCCCCTTCTTACTGTAAGACTCAGTGAAGTTCCCTCCTCCTTCGGGAAGTCTTCCAAGATTACACAGCCAGGTGCCCCCCTTCTCTCCCAAGTCCTCTGAATGTCATTTGGTGCACCCTAGGGATCCTCTGCATTTCTCAGGAGCCCTAGGGTAGGTGGATGGAGGGCAGATCCTCCAGGGGCTAGAGCAGGTGTCCTTAAGGGTGTGGTGAGTTTTGGGCAGGGCATTGGGGCCATAATGACCCACCCCCTGAGGTCCCTGATGATGATGTGGGGAATGGGGTCCTATGGGCCCAGCTCCATGCCAGGCAGGAAGATGCAGGTGAGCCCTGCATCCCCAGGTGTAAACAGGGCAGAGCGGAGCTGACAGGTAAGCAGTTGCCATGGGGATGGCGAGCTGGGCAGTCCTCCGTTCCTGGGTGGCTTTGAAGGGCCCCTCGTTATGACTGTGACTTGGGGATGGGTTGGGCTCATCCCGCCAGCTCTCCTGCCCTCGTTTGGGTGTCTCCTGAGGCAGCAGTCAGAGGGTGGTGGTCCAGGACGCTGGCGATGCTGGGATGGTTGCCCTCTCTGCTCCATGAGGTCTCCGTACAGAGCACCTCCCCCATGGTGGCAGCAGAGGCAAAACCCTGCCCTCTGGGCTGAGGCCCAGAGCCGACCTCCTGGTGGGTGAGGTGGCCACGGGGCCAGCCGGCAGCAGGGTACTGGCACTGAGATGCACAGGCCTCTCCAGCAGAGGTGGTGCCAGGACAGGGGCAGTGCCTGGAGACCGCCTGGGTTGTCACAACTGGGATTTGTGTACTAATTTTCTGTGGCTGCCATAAAAATTGCCACAAATTCAGTAGGTTTTGGTTTTTCTTTTTTTTTTTTTGATGTTGGTGGGGGCGGGGGGGCAGGCTTCTATGTTGCCCAGGCTGGTCTTGAACTATTGGATTCAAGTGATCCCCCCACCTTGGCCTCCTGGGTAGCTGGGACTGCAGGCGCATCCAACCACACCCGGCTTTTTTTTTTTTTTTTTTTTTTTTAAGTTTTTGTAGAGAAACAGTCATGGTATGTTGCCCAGGGTGGTCTTGAACTCCTCGACCCAAGCAATCATCTTGCCTCAGTCTCCTGAGTAGCTGGGGCTATAGGAATGTTCCACTGGTGCCTGGCTTTGAGTGTTTTAAAACACCACTAATTTATTAGCTAAGTTTTATAGAAGTTCAAATTGGGTATCTTTGGGCTCAGAATGAGGGGTTGGCAGAGTTCTGTTCCTTCTGGAGGCGCCAGGGGAGACTGTTTCCCTGATTTTTCCAGCCTCAAGAAGCTGCCCACATTCCTTGACTGGTAGTTCTAGTCTCCTTTGGAGCGGCCGTGCCCCTCTCTGCCCTGCCCTTCTCTGCCCACCTCTCCTCTGCCTCCCTCCTGCACCCGAAACACCCTTGTGGCGACGCTGGGCCCACCCGGAAGATCCAGGGTCGCCTGCTTGCTTTCGGGTGAACTGGTTGGCGCCCTTCCTAACCTGCCACTTAACCCACTTAACCCAGCCTGCCCCAAGGTTCTGGGGATTTGTGCACAAGTATCTGTGGGAGGGGCATTCTGCCTTCCACAGGGGCTGCCGGCACCTGGTGGGTAGAGGCGGGGGTGCTGTGCTGCTCAGGATCCCGAAGTGCACGGGCAGCCCCAAACCACGAGGGCCCGGCAGGAAACCCTGGGGCAGAGGAGGGTTCGTGGGGCGGGAGCGCATGTGAAGCCCACCTTGCAAGGAGAGGGGCGCGCTCGTCTCGGGACGGCAGAGGGCGGGTCTCCGAGGCGCGTGGAATCAAGGGGGCGGAAGAAGCAGTCTCGGGAGTGGGAAGGATCCTGGGAGGGGCGTGAGGATCCCCCGAAGTATCGCAGCAGCAGTGAGGGGTTTAGGCCGTCGCCCCGGCCGCCACTGCACCTCCCCACCCGCAGGCCTCCGCAGCGCCACGGGCGGCCGCGCGGGGTAGCGTTTGGGGGCTCCCAGGGACGCGGTCTCCGGCTCGCAGGTCCGCCCAGGGTTGGCCGCGTGGTCCCTCGGGCTTCCCACGCCTGATTCGAATTGTGATTCCGGCTGGCTCCGGACCGAGCCGAGGCCGCTCCGGCACCACAGCAGGAGCCGCGCGGGCGGGGGCGCGAGGCGCCTGGGAGATGTAGTTCGCAGCCTGCCTCTGCGCACCAGACAATGCCCGGCGCTGCCCCGCTGGAGAAACACCTTCCTTGGCTTTGCAGAAACACCGCTTACTATTAATACAGCAACGAATACAGCTTTAAAAACGCACCCACAGTGTCCTCCCTGGAATAACAGCTATTAACATTACCTGAAGGTTATCCCAGATATTTCTAAATGTATATGGGGAGATAAAAGGATGTAATGGAAATACAGAAATACATGTCGAGCTGCTACTTATACATTTTTAAATATTTAAAGAAAAAAAATTGCTAAAAGTAGATGAATGCTTCTTCACCTCAAGTTTAAAAGTCTCCTTACGATGGTCGGGCGCTGTGGCTCAGGTTGTAATCCCAGCACTTTGGGAAGCCAAGGCGGGCAGATCGCTTGAGCTCAGGAGTTGGGGAACAGCCTGGGCAATATGGCGAAGCTCCACCCATATTGAAGATACAACAATTAGCCTGGCGTGGTGGTGCGCACCTGTAGTCCCAGCTACTTGGGAGGCTGAGGTGGGAGGATCGCTTGAGTCCAGGAACTTGAGGCTGCAGTGGGCCAAGATAGCCCCACTGCATTTGAGCCTGGGTGACAGAGTGAGACCCTGTCTCCAAAAAAAAACTCTTCTACGATTATTTTTAGAAATTACAAAAACATCAGGAGATAGGTGTGTTCGGCTGAGGTGGCACAGGCTGACTTCTGCCTGTGAATGGTGAAAAACTGGCACTGTCATTTCTGTATCCCCTGGCAGGGTATTTCTTACTGGAAGATCAAAGCTCACTACCAGTATTTGACCTACTGAAAGTCTTTGTTTTGATTTACATCTTTACTGGTTGAACTTAAGATCAGTTTTTGTTGTTGTTGTTGTTATTGTTGTTTTTAGACAGGGTCTTGCTCTCCCACCCAGGCTGGAGTGCAGAGGTGCCGTCTCGGCTCACTGTGAACTCTGCATCTCAGGCCTAAGCTATCCTCCCGCCTCAGCCTCTAAAGTAGCAGGGACTAAAGGCGTGTGCCACCACGCCCGGCTAATTTTTATATTTTTTAGTAGAGATGGGTTTTCACCATGTTGCCCAGGATGGTCACGAACTCCTGGGTTCAAAGTGTTGGAATTTCAGAGCCAGAGCCCTGGTTTTATATACTTTATTATGTTCCCCTCCCTGCTAGATTGCAAACCCTCTGAGGGTAAAGGCGCTGTTTCCTTAACCCTCCAAGGCCTAGAGTGGCCTGTAGCTTGAAGTAGGTGTTTAACAAATAATACATGAGTAAATTATTGTGTTAATCACTTTGTCTTGCTCTGAAATTATCTCAAGCCTTTCCTCTCTGAGTAACTTGATATTCTGCCCATTGCTGTTTTTGACTCAGTCCAGCCACAGTGAGATTTCGGTGCTTTCAGTTTCCTGGGCTCTTAAATCTTCCTCTCATCCTGCTGTTTTATCATCTAGTATTTGAATTCCTGATTGTTGAATTCATGCTGCTATGAAGATCTGAAAGCAGTCCTGTGGAGTCCTCTTCTGTTTCTTCAGTTGTGTTTTTTTATTCATTTATTTTTTTAATTTTTGTTTCTTTGAGACAGAGTCTCACTGTGCTGCCCCCAGGTTGGAGTGCAGTGGTGTGGTTTCGGCTCCGGGGTTCATGCAATTCTCCTGCCTCAGCCTCCTGAGTAGCTGGGACTACAGGCACACGCCACCATACCCAGCTAATTTTTGTTGTTGTTGTTGTTGTAGTTTTAATAGAGATGAGGGTTCACCATGTTGGCCAGGCTTGTCTCGAACTCCTGATGTCAGGTAATCCTTCTGCCTTAGCCTCCCAAAGGGCTGGGATTACAGGTGTGAGCCACCGCGCCCGGCCCTGTTGTGTTCTCTTCCATACTGGGTTTCTCACCGGCCCCTCACACCCTTGCTGAATTGTTTTTCTGTTGTTGAATGACATGGATGTGGTCATGTGCCACCTCAGCAATGTTCCCACCTCAGCCTCTGGGGATATGCCACTACTTCTGTCACTTCTGTCCTGACGCGAAAGCTCTTTCCTGAATGCCTATTCGCTCCTTTTTTTTTTTTTTCTTTTGGAGACGGAGTCTCACTCTGTCGCCCAGGCTGGAGTGCAGTGGCACAAACTCGGCTCACTGCAAGCTCCACCTCCCGGGTTCACTCCATTCTCCTGCCTCAGCCTCCCGAGTAGCTGGTACTACAGGTGCCCGCCACCGTGCCTGGCTAATTTTTTCTATTTTTTAGTAGAGACGGGGTTTCACCGTGTTAGCCAGGATGGTGTTGATCTCCTGACCTCGTGATCCTCCCGCCTTGGCCTCCCAAAGTGCTGGGATTACAGGTGTGAGCCACCACGCCCAACCAGATTCTTCTTTTTTTTTTTTTTTGAGACGGAGTCTCGCTCTGTCGCCCAGGTTGGAGTGCAGTGGCCGGATCTCAGCTCACTGCAAGCTCCACCTCCTGGGTTTACGCCATTCTCCTGCCTCAGCCTCCCGAGTAGCTGGGACTACAGGCGCCCGCCACCTCGCCCAGCTAGTTTTTTGTATTTTTAGTAGAGACGGGGTTTCACCGTGTTAGCCAGGATGGTCTCAATCTCCTGACCTTGTGATCCGCCCGCCTCGGCCTCCCAAAGTGCTGGGATTACAGGCTTGAGCCACCGTGCCCGTCCCGGATTCTTCTTAATTCTTTGTTTTTATTGTTTGACTCACCTGAGGTCTTTGGACTTTGCCTCTGAGCTGGCTTAAGGGCAATCCACCTTTTTCACTGGTCTGGAGTGGGGAGGCAGAGTAGGGGTCGGCTGGAGGGACGGGGCTCTGTGCTGTCTTTTGAGAGTTTACTAAACGTCACTCTGCATGGTAAGGGGTGTGTCCTCTCCGCTGCGGTGTCCTGGCTTGAAGTTCAGATTGTCTCCCTGGGACACCAGACCCTGCGCCGTGCTCCTTCCGAAGGACAGCTTTGACTGTCTCCGCTCCAGCAGTCAGTTCTCTCCACCCCCACCGGGAGAAGGAGCAAAGGCTGGTGTCTGCAGGAGGCTCCCCTCCAGGCCAAGGCCAGGGGAGAGTGTGCATGTCACTGTCAGGATGTGTCCTGGTGGCGTGGCCGGGTTCTCAGGGTGAAGTGCCTCCGTTTCTGGGATAGCAGCGGAAGCAGGCACTACACACACAGCTTCGGGGGCTCTCCCCATGCCTCCTAGCTGCCTGGCACTTTCTGTTGTTTCTGGCTAACTTTCTGACCACGCCAGGAGTTGGTGGAAGATCTCAGGCCGCAGCGTTGCTTTCCCGCTGAGGAGACAGAGGTAGGCCGGGGCTGTAGGACAGGGGAGGCGGCAGCCCCACCTTCTTTCTGGGGAGACGCTGCCTGTCTGTCATTGCCCCTCTCCTGCACCTGGCCCCTGGCTGTCTGCTCTTCCCACCCAATCACCAGCAAGCCAGCTCCTGTTCCCTGCAGCCCGTGGGCTGTGTCCTGGGACCCGCAGCCCTCTCTCCCCAGAGACAACACTGCCTTGCAGCCTCAGTTCCTGGCCCTGTGCGAACCCTGGCAGGGGTTTCCTTTCTGGTCTGCTCTGCAGCCAAGACACTGTGGCCACGGCTCTCCTTGGGACCCCCACCTGGCTTTTCTCCCAGCACACGCTGTTTTCTGCCCACCTAGCTGGTGTCCTGTGTGCCGGATTCTCTATGCTCTGTCCCCGGCACCCTGACCACATCTGTCCCACCTGCCTAGATCTTGAACTGTGGGCACGGGGTTCCCTCCTGATAGCCCTGAACACTCCGCTCCATGTCCTACAGGGAGGAATATCCCAGGTAGATGTCAGCTCCCTCCAGTCACTGACCTCCAGCATCTGAGCAGGCAGGGCGGAGACCCATGGTGCTGCTCAGACCAGCAGCCTGGAGCCCCAAGACGGCTCCTTTTCCTCACCTCCCCCAACACTGATGTTGCACCTGTCTCCAAGCCACTGTGGGGCCATCTGTTTTTCTCCATCTGGGAAGCCCCCTTCCCACTTCATGCTCTTCCTGGCTGGGGCGTCTGGGTCACTGGGCTCTCCTCTCGTTAGGCCTGTGCACACACACACAGGAAGGCGCCCTGACAGGTGGTGGAGAGGGAAGGCAGCTGCCTCACTGTGGAAAGAGCACGGCCGCTCCCGGACTCCAGCCCTGTTAGGGCTGGGGAGGTCAGCAGGCGCTGGGTTCCAGCCTCAGGTGGGGTCTTCGGAGGTGGCCTTTGGGCACAGGCACCTCCTCTGTGGCCTTCTCACCAGGTCACAGTTCAGGGAGGCTTTGCCGGCTACGGAGCCTGCCCACACCAAGGCGCGCACGGTCACCGGTCCAGAGATGCCATGCGGGCTGGGCGGCGAAGGCCAAGGACACACGCTGCCTGGTGTCGGGGGCAAAGGTTAGGCCTGGAAGGGAGGTGTGGGGTGGGGACCCCGAGGCCAGGGCTGGGCCGCTGAGCTTCAGGGCCCTTGTTGGGGGTCAGGGGGGAATGCCAGAGGACCCCAGCACCAGGAGGAACCCCCTGGAGAGTTATGGCAGGACTCACCTGTGGGGCACAGGAAGAATCACCAGGGAAAGGACCCTTGTGGAGGATCCCCCCTCTACCCCCAGGGCACTAGGGGAGGATCTACCAGGGGGGTCTGGTGGAAGGGCCCACCCGGGAAGCGGCGCGCGGGGAGGACTCGGGGGCGCCGGGAGGAACTGTCCGGGAAGGGGCGCGCGGGCCGCGGGCGGCGCGGGGTCGGTAACGGCCCGCGCGGTGGGCGGCGGCGCCCGAGGCTCCTCCCCGCCGCCCGCGGCCGCTCCTCCTCTTCCTCTCCCGCCCGCGCCGCGGCCCTCCCGTCCCTGCGCGGCCTCGGCGGCCTCGGCGGCGGCGGCGGCGGCGGCGGCAGCAGCGCGGCCCCTTTAAACGCCTGCGGCGCCCCCCGCCCCCGCCATCGCGCCTCCATTTTCCCGGCCGCCCGCGCCGAGCGCCGCGCCCGCCCCGGGCCCCTCCGCCGCCGCCGGCCCGGACATGGCCGCCAACATGTACAGGGTCGGAGGTAAGGCCGCACCGCCTTTATGCCCGGCCCCGACCCGCCCGCAGCCCCCACCCGCCGCCGCTGCCGCCTCCCCCGCCCCTCCGCCCCGCAGGCCCCGCGCCCCCCGCCCGCCCCCGCGGCCCCCGGCTCCTTCCCGAACCTCCCCCCGCAGTGCTCACCCCAACCCAAAATGGCCCCGCGGGTCGGCCCCATCGGGGGCGGGCGGGGCGCGGCGGCCCGGGGGTGGGGGGCGGCCCACCTGTTGGGGCCGAGGGGGCGGCCGCGGGGGTGGCGGGGGGGCGCGGGCGGCCGGGGACATCCGGGTGGCCGGGGCCGGGAGCCCCCCGCGGGAGCACGTGGCCTTGGGAGGCGCCGGCTGCCGGTCTGGGAGCAGGAGTTTTGGGGCTGTGGGGTCTCCCCCGGCCCGCGGCCCTGTGCTAGGAACTCCGGTGCGTCTCCTCTGCGGATGGGGAGCCCCGGTGAGGGGCCTCGTTCCTCCCTATGCCCTCCTGCAGCCTGGCCCCGGGGCTTCCCCCCGCAGGGCGCCCTCAGGGGGTCTTCAGCAGGGAGCGAGCATCCCGAGCACGCCTCTAAGTCCCCCCAAACTTTTCCCTGCCTCCCGCTCACCCCAGCCCGTTCGGGAGGCGCTTTGCTAGGGTTGGGGAGAGGCCGGAGGGTCCCCTGGGCAGGGGCCCGGGGCTTCCTCTCTGGGTCAAGCCTCCTGTTGCTCGGGCCCTGCGGGCCTGCAGCTTTGGGCCTTGCCCTGCTTCGAGTGCCTGGGACTCCGTGGGGTCTTTCACAGGGAGATGGGGGGTCGTGCACTTTCCATCATTCCATCAGTGCCTCCCTCCCCAGGACTCTTGAGACCCCTCCCTGCCTGTGACCCTCTCGGCAGGTGCCCATTGCCTCTCCCACCTGCAGCCTGCGCTGCAGGAGGGAGCTGGGGTCTCTCCCGCTCTGGCCTGATCCCCATGCCCGTGACCCCGAGTGCCCAGAACACTCTGTGTCCCTTGAGCGTGGCTTCTGCTGCCTTGGACGCCGTGTGGTCTCGCCGGCCAGCCCTGTGACCTTGGGGACAGTGGGAGCCCCCTACACCCCGTCTGTGAGATGGGTGGTCAGTCTGCATCAGCAGCTCTGGGCCTCCCCTGTCCTCTCACAGGGGCGGTGGGCCTGTGCCCATCCAGCGGCAGCCCCTCCCACAGCCTCATACAGCTTTGCCAGGTCCCTGTGTGGACACAGGTGGGCTCAGCCCACCCCACGCCTGGAGCAGCCTGGGTGCGGGGTCCCTTGAGGGAGCGGCCTGTTTCTTCCTGTTCTTTCTCCCCACCTGGAGACCCCCCTTCCAGCCTGACATGAGGGCCCAGTTTCTCATCCTGGTAGAGAGGATGCCTACTGCCTGGGCTCCAGCCGGGCCCACTGCGCATGGTTTTGGGATTGGTCCCAAGAAGAGCTCTCCCTGCCCCCACCCAGGCTGGGGCTGGGGAGTGGTGGCCGCTTTGGGCTCTAGGGCTGGGGACACCCCGACCCTGACTCGTGCCTTTCCAGTGGCTGCATTGCTCGGCCTTCAGGCCCACCTGCCTGTGAACTTGGCGCCAGCCTGGCTGCCCCCCACCGTCCCGTGCCTCGGTTTCCCCATGGTGTGGGTGAGGACCTCGTCTGTCAGTCATCCTTCTGTGCCCTGTGGCAGCTGTGCTGTGGCTGACGAAAGCCAGGACCCTGCCTTGTCCCGTCCCGGAGGTGCAGCTCCTCTGGGCTTGCACAGGCTTGGGAGGAGCCCTGTGTGGGTCTGCACCGCCCTCCCCGAACCCTCTGTCCCTCTGTGCCTGCAGGCCCGTCCCGGGGTCTCACTGACCCTCAACACTCCATGCTGTGAGGCTGGGTGGCCTGGACCCCTAGGCTGTGGCGGAGGTGCCCACCATGCCTGGCGGAGATGTTGCTGGTCTCTTTCTGTGATGAGGAGCATGGGAGGTTGGGTGCTGTCTGCTGGCAACACAGCCACGCGTGGGATCCAGACTGCTTCTGTGTGTGCAGTCCGTGGTCACTGTGGCCAGGTGTGCTCAGGGTTGTCAGGCCCTCCGTGTGCCCACCCCAAGGACGTCCTCTCCCTGCAGGTGAGACTGTGGGCCTCTCCCGCTCTACTCTGACAGTCCCTATAGGAGAAGTGGCGTTTATCCCTGGCTTCTGGACCCGAACCCCGGGTTCCCGCAGGACCCTGGCAGGGCCTGTGGTTGCAGTGAGCTGGGTGTTGCAGGTTGGCTTCCTGTCTTGGTGCTCGCCCCGGGAGGTGGGTGTCTGGATTCTTGAGCCCCCAGACGAGAGAGGAAGGTGTCTCCTGAGCAGCCTTTGTCCGTCTGCCGCCGGCTGCCTGGCGTGGGCCCCGTTTGGGCGGCCATCCTGGCCTGTGGGAGCTGCCGGCAGGGACTCAGCCTGGGAAGGGGCTTGCTCCTGCCCCCTCCCCCCGCAAAGGGACCTCGTGTGTAGAGGTGCCAAATTTAGTAAAAAAAAAAAGTACAGGATGCCCAGGCAAATTTGAGTTTCAGATAAACAGAAATTTATTAGTGTAAGTATGTCCCAAATATGGCATGGGACATACTTGTCCCAGAAGATTCTTATCTGACATTCACAGTTATCTGGGCATCCCGTATTTTAGCTGGCAGGCTGCTCCGAGGCCATGCCAGGTCGGGCTGGGCAGGGTGAAGGTGTGGCAGCAGCATTTTTGTGCCAGCTGAGCTGGGTGAAGTGGTGAGCGGGAGAGAACAGGGCCTGTTTCTTCCCCGTGGAGTGCCCTGGCCACGGACAGAGGCCTGCTGTCTGTGCCTGTGAGGGCAGCGGATGGCCTGGGCAAGGGTGGCGGGGTCAGGGTTCCCTGACCTCTGCTCCTTAAGGGTTGTCCATCCCGAAGGCTGGGAAAGGCTTGGAACCTGCTGTGGGCTGAGAGGCCCCAGGGCGATGGCGGGCTGTTTCTTCCCTGGGTTGAACATGAAGATGTTAGATAGCGTCCAAAACAGGACAGCAGAAATCAGTGCCTGTGAGCCACCTGCAGCTTGCTCATGTGGGGGCTCTGCTTCTCAGTGGACAGACCGTTACCGTTTTGCCTTGGGTGTTTCTGTTCATTGCAAGAGGTTAACACCCCATCTTTTGGATTTTTTTTTTTTTTTTGAGACAGAGTCTCGCTGTCTCCCAGGCCGGAGTGCAGTGGCGCAATCTCAGCTCACTGCAAGCTCCGCCTCCCGGGTTCATGCCATTCTCCTGCCTCAGCCGCCTGAGTAGCTGGGACTACAGGTGCCCGCCACCATGCCCGGCTAATTGTTTGTATTTTTAGTAGAGACAGGGTTTCACTGTGTTAGCCAGGATGGTCTCGATCTCCTGACCTCGTGATCTGCCCGCCTCGGCCTCCCGAAGTGCTAGGATTACAGGCCTGAGCCACCACGCCCGGCTGAATTTTGTTTTGTTTTGTTTTAATTTTTTTTTGAGATGGAGTCTCGCTCTGTGGCCCAGGCTGGAGTGCAGAGGTGCGATCTCAGCTCACTGCAGCCTCCACCTCCTGGGCTCAAGCAGTTTCCTGCCTCAGCCTCCCAAGTAGCTGGGACTAGCCAGACGCCACCACACCTGGTTAAGTTTTGTATTTTTAGTAGAGATGGGGTTTCTCCATGTTGGTCAGCTGGTCTCGAACTCCTGATCTCAAGTGATCCACCTGCCTCGGCCTCCCAAAGTGCTAGGATTACAGGCGTGAGCCCACGCCTGGCCTTTTTGTTTTAATTTTAGTATAGATTGAGGCTGGGTAACAGAGCGAGACTCCGTCTCAAAAAAAAAAAAAAAAATTAGCGTAGTTTGAAAAGATGCCAGAGAGCCTCTGCCCCTGCAGGGCCCTGGTCTCGGGCGCAGCCTGCGTAGAAGCACCCGGTCCGTGCTGCTGGTCTTCCCTGGTCTCGGGCGTAGCCTGCGCAGAAGCACCCGGTCTGTGCTGCTGGTCTTCCCTGGGCTTGGCGTGTGCCATCAACTGCACTCTGTTGTGCTGTTAGAAGTGCTGCTTTCGTATTTTTGTTCTGGTGTTTTTTTTGAAGTTTAAACTTTATTGCTCTACATACTTGCCAGTGGGGAAAAAAGTAAACTTAAAAAACGTTTCAGATTTTAGAGGGCTGCAGCCAGCACCCTACCCTCCAGTGCTGAGTGCACCGTGTCCCTAGACGCTTGCTGCTCCATGGGCCGATTTTTGGGGTCCCACCCATGTAAGAAGGCAAGGAAGAGCCCTGGAGACAGCCATCCTGTGAGCACCAGGAGCGGGAGTTGTAGAAGTGGCCGGGGCCCCGGGTGTGATGTCCTGGAGGGGATGGCGTGGGGCTGTCTCGCTTGGCCTGTGAGGATCAGCCTAAGCACTGCGCCATTGGCAGCCCTGTCTCACTCTCCAGGCAGGATGGGCCACTGAGCTGCTCCTGCCTCAGCCTCCCAGAGTGCTGGGATTACAGGCGTGAGCCACTGTGTCTGACCCCCCCTTTTTTTTTTTTTGAGACAGTCTCACTCTGTCACCCAGGCTGGAGGGCAGTGGCACAATCACAGCTCACTGCAACCTCTGCCTCCCGGGTTCTAGCGATTCGCCTGCCTCAGCCCCCTGAGTAGCTGGAATTACAGGCACGCGCCACCACACCTGGCTGGTTTTTGTGTTTTTAATGGAGACGGGGTTTTACCATGTAGGCCAGGCTGGTCTCGAACTCCTGACCTCAGGTGATCCGCCTGCCTTGGCCTCCCAGAGTGCTGGGATTACAGGCGTGAGTCACTGTGCCTGGCCCCATATTGTTCTGAGTGGAGAGTTTGACCATTAAGCTCTCAGATTAATAAAAAAAGTAGCTGTCAATGAGAGATGTTGGAATGAATAGTCCAAAGAAGCATATCCCTCATGCCCGACTGTGGCAGTGCCATTCCCGCCCGTGTGTGTGGGCTCGGGTGTCAAGACTGCTGCAGCGGCCCTGCAGGCGTCCTACCTAGAGGTGGGTCCCCAGCTGCGCATCTGGACGCTGGTCAGCAGGTGAGGCCGGGATGCCAGGGGAGGTGCCGTGTGCCTGGCCAGGTACCTGGAGGAGCACTGGCTGCAGGGCCTTCTTCCTCCTCCAGCTGAACTTGGGGTGCTCTTGCCAGATTATGGGCTGAGTCCTGCTAGGGATGGGGGCCCCCATTCCCCAAGAGGAGCCCACCCTGAGACCCTGTTGGGGGGCAGCTTAGATGCTACCTTAGACTCCAACAGGCTGTCTTGAGAGCGTGTAATTATGTTTTTTTGCGACAAGGTCTCCTGTTGCCTAGGCTGAAGTGCAGTGGCACCATCACAGCTCACTGCAGCCTCCACCCCCCAGGCTCAAGCGATCCGCCCACCTCAGCTTCCTGAGTAGCTGAGACCACAGGTGCACACCACCATACCCAGTTAATTTTAAAATTTCTTACAGAGGCGGAGTCTGTATGTTGCCCAGGCTGGTCTTGAACTTCTGTGCTCAAGCGATCCCCTTGCCTTGGGCTCCCAAAGTGCCGCTGGGGTTGCAAGGTTGTGAGCTACCATGCCCGGCAGAGCATTTACTATTCTCCAAATGGTCTTTGCTTGTGTGCTGCCTGGGCTCACTGCTTTCTGGGGCTCTCGTGTTGCTGGTGTCCCCACCCCCACCTCCACCCCAGCTGGCCTGCTCCGTTCCTGTCCCTGTGGGCTCGTGTCTGAGTGTGCAAGCTGGGGATCCTGGTGACAATGTCGTGTCTGAGTGTGCAAGCTGGGGAATCCTGGTGACAATGGAGCCAAGCCCAGTGAGGCTGGAGCCACCCTCATAGTGCAGGGCCACCCAGCACCCTGCACCCCATACCCCACCCACCCCCCAGCATGCCCCCGCACCCTGTACCCCACCCACCCCCAGCACCCTGCACCCATGCCCCACCCACCCCACAGCATGCCTACTGCACCCCTGTACTCCACCCACCCAGTATACCTACTGCACCTGGCATACCCCACCCACCCCCCAGCACCCTGCACCCCATACCCCACCCACCCCCAGCATGCCCCGCACCCCTGTACCCCACCCACCCCCCAGCATGCCCCCCCGCACCTGTACCCACCCACCCCCAGCATGCCTCCGCACCCCTGTACCCCACCCACCCCAGCCACCCTGCACCCATACCCCACCCACCCCAGCACATGCCCCATACCCCTGTACCCCACCCACCCACAGCATGCCCCCGCACCTATTACCCCACCCACCCCCAGCATCCTCCCGCTGCCCCTGTACCCACCCACCCCCCAGCACCCTGCCCCATACCCCACCCACCCCCAGCCATGCCCCCGCACCCCTGTACCCACCCACCCCACAGCATACCCCCCACGCACCCCTGTACCCACCCACCCCCAGCATGCCTCCGCACCCCTGTACCCCACCCCACCCCCCAGCACCCTGCACCCCATACCCACCCACCCCCAGCATCCAGCACCCTGCACCCCATACCCCACCCACCCCCCAGCATGCCCCCCGCACCCCTGTACCCCACCCACCCCCCAGCATGCACCCCGCACCCCTGAGACCAGGCCCCAGGCTTGCTTCTGTGGGCTTTGCACCACCCACTAGGCTGTTCCCGCCTGGGCTGTGCAGCGCACCTGAGGGGTCTGAGGTGACCGCTCCTCAGAGCCGCCCTGCAGCCTCCCCAGGGCTGGCCTCAGCACTGCAGCCCCATGATCTGGCCTGGCGTAGGCTCTGCTGCTTTCTCTGCCTGGACAACCCTGGTGGCCTGAGGAGCTCAAGCGCCCCCCTGCCCCCAGAGCCCTTCCACGGTCAGGGCCTGAGCTCTGTGGGTGCCATTAGGAGGAGGGTTTACAGATCTGTGGCTGGGGGACCCCTGGGGCATGGAGGGACCCATGCGTCCCTTCCCATCTGTGCCCTGCCAGGCTGTCCTCACGGCAGCGTGGTCACAGGGGAGGAAACCAGGGCAGTGGCAGCCACTCCTAGTACCAAGCACACCTTAAAAATGAGCCCACGGAGGTTGCAGTGAGCCGAGATCACGCCACTGCACTCCAGCCTGGGTGACAGAGCGAGACTTCATCTCACAAAAAAAAAAAAAAAATGAGCCTCACGGCCCATGCAGTTGGTCA